AACCTAAGCTTGATTGTTGTGAGCAGCGGTGGGTGGCCAAACTTGCGGCGTACAATTTTGACATCAAGTATGTACCAGGTTCGCAGAATGTTGTGGCTGACGCTTTGAGTAGGGTTCCATTCGTGAAATCCAACATCGGCTCTAGACTGTTACGTGAAAAATATGACAAACTTTTGTCTGAAGTACAGGAAGTCTCTGCTGGCTCAGTTCAGGAGGCTTTTCGGTGGTCTTGTGGGTCTGAAGGAAAGCAGAGTGTTTCTAGCAGCGGCCCCTTGCACAGTAATTCGGCAAGCATTGCATGGACTTCCTTAGATAAGGAGGATGTAATAGCCGTGCTTGACTCACAAAGGATGTGGGAAGATGGTGCAAGACTTCGTGCTTTGTCTGTTTTGAATCATCTTCCTCAGATGGTTTCTGAATCAGAGATTCAGCCTACATATTCAGAGCGTGATCTGCGTGAAAAGCAGCTCTCTGATAGTGTGCTGTCTAGGGTTATTCATTATGTGGAAAGACATCGCAAGCCAAGCAGGCGTGAAAGAGCAAAGGAACCTGTTGGGGTCCTTAGATACATTAAGCATTGGGAGAAATTTGTTGTGAGAAACGGGATTCTCTACCGGATTTCCCATGATCATTTGTCTAAGGGTAAGCGGTTCCAGTACGTAGTCCCTGAGTCACTTCAGTTGGAGGTGTTGAGGGGTATTCACGATCATGCGGGTCATCAGGGGCAGTCTAGGAGTTTGGGTCTGGCGAGACGTCGTTTCTTTTGGCTGAGCCTTGACAGAGATGTTAGAGAGCATGTACGACACTGTCAGAGGTGTGTTGTCAGTAAAACCGCTGAGCCTGAGGGCCGAGCACCCCTAGAAAATATTGTGACCAGCAGACCATTGCAGTTAGTATGCATTGATTTTGGTCTGCTGAAGATCATAACAACAAGTCAGTTGATGTCTTAGTGATCACAGATCACTTTACCAGGTTGGTGCAAGCGTTTCAGGTTTCCTGAACGCGTACACAGTGATCAGGCGGCAAGCTTCGAAGGCCAGCTGATTACTGAGCTTCTTCAGGTGTCTGGAGTACAAAAATCGCATACAACTCCCTACCATCCTATGGGGAATGGTAGTGTAGAGCGATTTAATAGGACCCTGGGGAACATGATCCGCGTATTGGCTCCAGATGCAAAGCGTAATTGGCCAAGACAACTGCAATCTTTGACTTTCTTGTATAATTGTACTGTTCATGAGACGACTGGCTATGCTCCGTTTTATCTCATGTTCGGTAGAGTTCCTCGCCTTCCGGTAGACATAATTTTCTACTCTGTTCTGGAGGATCACACTGTGACTTGTTACGACAAGTATGTGGCTTCTCTTTTGAAAGATCTGGAGGAGGCCTTGTCAGTAGCTCAGGTGCATGCTTCGAAGGAACAGTCCAGGCATGCAGTGATCTACAACAGGAGAGTCAAAGGTCAGGACATTGATGTTGGTGATCGTGTTCTTCTAGCAAACAAGTCTGGAAGAGGCAAGCGGAAGCTAGCTGACAGGTGGATGTCCGCCGTCTTTGTCGTGGTAGACAAAAATGTCGATACTCATATTTTCAAGATAAGGGGTACGAGCACTGGTCAGAAAAAGGTTGTGCATCGCAACCTTTTGCTACCTGTGAACTTTTTGCCACTGGACAAAGCAGAGAGTGCAGTATCCGATACAGTTTCATCTTTGGCTGTGACTGATTCAGGTGACAAAACCAATAGTTCAGCATCTATGGCGAGTTTGGGTGTTGATGTTTCGAAATCTAGGCCATGTGTCAGAGATGGTGGGTTGGCAGAGACTCATGAGGATTCAGTGTCTGTTAGGCCTGATGATGGTTTGTCTCTTGATGCTAATGTCTCATGTGCTACAACTGACAGTTGTGCTAGAACATCTGACTGGGTTTCTGGGTTGCCTGATAAATGTTCACAGCTGGGATCAGTTGTGTCTTTGAGCAATGTGTCAGTAAGTCCACATTCTGAACGGTCCGATAGTTCAAGTGTTACTGGAAGTTTGAATTCTGGGGTTGAATCTGTGAGTCTTGAACATTCTGTGATTTCAAATCCTTCAGCTGATGTTTCCAAGGTTGATGCTGATGATGTACCAGTTTCTGACACTGGGACCTTTATTGTGCGCAGGTCTCGTTTTGAACGTTTCATCAAGCCTGTGAATAGACTGTTGTACACTATGTCTGGACAAAAGGTTGTGTCAATGCGGAATCACAGAATTCAGACTGTTTGAATGTTTTTTTTATTATTTGTTTAAATGTTTTGTTGTTCAATATGGTTGTAAACAAATAAGATGTAGGATGTATGAATAAGAAGACACAAGAAACAATGTTTTATTTTGTTTTTTTTATGACACATTGTTCTGTGTAAGTTACATTTGCTTACCGTATACCTTGGTATAGAGTTTTGTGAGATGTATATGGGCATCGAATCTGTGAGTCTTGAACATTCTGTGATTTCAAATCCTTCAGCTGATGTTTCCAAGGTTGATGCTGATGATGTACCAGTTTCTGACACTGGGACCTTTATTGTGCGCAGGTCTCGTTTTGAACGTTTCATCAAGCCTGTGAATAGACTGTTGTACACTATGTCTGGACAAAAGGTTGTGTCAATGCGGAATCACAGAATTCAGACCGTTTGAATGTTTTTTTTATTATTTGTTTAAATGTTTTGTTGTTCAATATGTTTGTAAACAAATAAGATGTAGGATGTATGAATAAGAAGACACAAGAAGCAATGTTTTATTTTGGTTTTTTTAATGACACATTGTTCTGTGTAAGTTATAGGTCACTTATGTCTGCAGCAAAATAACCACTAAAGGGGTGATTTATTTCATTTTACAGGTATGTTTTCTTATGTTTTTGTTTGTTATTACTATTGTTATATGTAAAGTGTGGTCGTGTTAAAATGTTCGGTAAGACAGGAGATGATGCAACACAGCAGTTGCAATGTGTACTGCACGCTGTGGGTCACTTATGTCTGCAGCAAAATAACCACTAAAGGGGTGATTTATTTCATTTTACAGCCTGCAGTAAAGAAAAGAAAGATTCATACCAGCCAGCATTGTGTCCGAGCCTTTATTGGAGGGGGGTTTGGACAAAGATTGAGTCTGTTGTACAGAGCGGTGTCTTATCGGATCTCAGTGGTGTTCGTCCAAGTCACATCGTAGAGTGGAGGAGAAAGACCACATCCGTCACACATGCCCGGGGGCATGACTTTGGGGTGGGGGAGCTAGTTTGGGTTTACAACCCAGTAAGGAAAAAAGAGAGGTGCCTGAAGCTGGACAGCCACTGAGTGGGACCATGCCCAGTACTGGAAAAGCTGGGGGAGGTTGTGTATCGTGTACAGTTGCCTCCTAGGTTGCGCAAAGTGGTACTGCATCGAGATAGGCTGGCTCCTTACCGGGGCACTACAACACCACAGGACGGCACGAAACTTCTGTCACAAAATGCTGGGACTCCAAGGGAGTCAGAGGGGGTTATCGACTCAGCTGATATGGCCAGTAGTGGCCAGCAGGTGACATCGCTGTCCGACAACCGTCAGGGTGATTGTTCGCAGGGCTCAGAGGAATCATTACTGGAAGGCCAAGCTCACACGCTCCTCAGGGGGCGTCCAAGGAGGAAGAGGAGACCCCCAGTCAGATTTAGAGACTTTGTCCTCGGGGTCGAGGACTTCAGTAAGAGGGGGGTAGTGTAGCATGTTCAAAATGTTGTCGTGTTGTGGATAACAATGTGCTTAATGTTAACATTGCACTTTATTCATTTTTGTGTTGTGAACTGTTATTAGATGTTCAAGTTGGATGTGAAAAGAGGCTCCACCCCCTGTGTGTGTGTGTAAGGGGAAACAGAGAGAAGGGGGTGCCTCGCTGTTTCAAGTGCGGTTCTCTTGGAAGTCGGGGTCTGTACGGCGTGGGTTGTGGCCGACAACAGCCCTAATAAACACCATCAAAACGCCTCATCCTTGTCTGAGAACGCTGCAGTATTATGAACTAAATCTGTATATATCACGTCATGTTCAGAAAAGACAGCGTTGATTTTTATTGCAGAAGACATAAACAGTGTCACAAACTTTGTATCCTGTCAATGATCACCTAATGTCTTCAATATAATTTTGAAAAGTACAAGAGTTTGTGTGTTATTAGTTTAGTCAGATTGTGTTTGTCTGTGAGTGTGACTTAGATGAGGATCAATTAATTTCAGTAAATTTTTAGGTTACAAATGATAAGGTTAAGCAATAAGTACATGTTGACATGTACATTATGATGACACATTACTGTATAATTTTAACAGTGATGTATTGCTACTGTAAGATCTATAATGTGAATTTATGAATTTTTACATTGACTATTGTTATCCAATGTAAAACATCCTCAAACACTGTTTTATGAAGCAAGGTCTTGTGATCTGTGTAAACAAACCAAGCAAAATAAATAAGTTCATATGGACAAGACATTTTAATAAGGCAGTTTTTAAATACATAATGTTGTCAGTGTAATTCAACAGTAGTTTAAATCAATCCATTATTCACATTTTACTATGAGCAGTTAATGGCACGTGTGCTGGAGCTGATCTCTGTATTTATAAGCTGATCTTCATTTCCACTGACCTAAAGACTGATATGTTCACTCATACAAGAATAAAACTGATTTCTTGTAATACTAATGCCAAATCAGACTAGGGATGGCACAAAATTATTTTTAGAGAAATAAAATGCTGCTTAGCTGTACAATGTCTACAGTTCACAGTTTTAAAAAAAACTAACGGCAAACATAATATGACATGGAAATGGTGTTTCTTAATCGCTTTGAAAAGACAGCATCCTTCATGATTATAGCATTATATTATAGCATTATATTCTCAACTCCATCTCTAGAGTTTCATCAACATCACATTAGTACTAACAGTGACGTCTTGGCCTGTTTCTGAGAAGTTAGTGAAGTAACAAAGAGATAGCACAGTGTTTGCCAAGTCGCGTTTATTTATAGTTTTATACAGAAAGTTTCAAATCAACTTCACAGTAATAAATAGGAAAATAACAATGATGCAAACTTAAATATGAGACAACTTAAAATTCTGCTGTAAAGTCTAAAAAGTCAGTAGAGTCATTATGTGTGTGTGTGTGTGTGAGAGCAAGAGACATTTCATACAGTGTGGTCCGTTCAAACTAGAAAAATTGCCACAAAATGTCCCACACACCACTCAAACTTGCTTGATCATTAAATGACTTATTATTTACCACCAGAGCTGGGCTTCATGTAGCTTGTCAGATATTGAAGCTAGGGATGCATGATATTGGCTTTTTGACGATATCCGACATGCCAATATTTTTCAACTAATTTCTCAAGACATAATCGGCATAATTTTTCATATCGGGCCAATGCCGATATTTATATTTTAAGCCATTATCAGCCAATTCCAATAACGTTCCGATAATATCGTACATCCCTAATTGAAGCAACACCATACCACTGCCGAATGTCATCATTACAGGCGTAGTTGAAGTGCGTGATGCCGGAGATCCATCGCAGCTGGTTGCTCCATGCCTAGACATTCTGCTTGAAGTTGGCTTTCTCTTTGGCGCAGAGCACAACTCCGTCCACGTAGAGAAGTGTCCATAGCACTGGCCTATTGGCTTATTCAGGACTCGTTCGAAAATCTAACAGAACAATCAAATTGGCCCGTAGTTGGCACATTCAGCCGGGTTGCCTTTCTTCTTCCAGATTGGAATGGTCGTGTTTAGCCAGTCAACAGGCATCTTCTTCTTTGAGACGGCCTGGCTGAAGAAATGTGCTAGCCATTAAATCGAATTCCAGCATTGTGACACACCTCTGCTGGCAAATCGTCTGGTCCAGTTGCTTTACCCAGCTTCATTCTCTTCACCGCTTCAGCATCTTCGTCAGCTGTGATAGCCTGCACTGAACTGAGAACATATCATATATACTGTATTTTATACACATATACAGTTACTAATTTTTCCACACACTGTATAGCAGGGGTGCAGAACCCAATTCCTGAAGGGCTGGAGCCCTGCAGAGTTTATGCCATACCATGTAGTTTTCAGGTGTGTTTAATTAGGGTTGAAGCTAAACTCTGCAGGGCTGTGCCCCTCTAGGAACTGAGTTCTGCACCCTGCTGTATAGTCAAATATAGTCATCAACATCTATGTAATCATAATTATGAATCTATTAATCTGTATTCAGTATGCATACCAAAATACACAAACACAAAACAATATGCTCACTGTCACTGTTTTTTTTTTTATTCTTTATTGTTTCTAATGCATGACCCCGCTCAGGGCAGTTTCTAAACAATTGGGCAAATTCCTTACATTAAAGTGGAGAGAGGTTAGAGAGGCTGTCCGAGTGGCATATTATTCTGTAAGTGTGTGGCGTCGGTGTGGATATCGGTGTGGAAATTTGGGGCCAGGGAAAGATGAGAATGTCATTGGATACCTGTAAATACTAAAATAAAACAGACAGTCACTTTTGTAAAATCAGTCAATCATTTGAAATAATAAAAGTCTCAAACATGCTTTATTTTAATGCAGATCAACTGCAAACAAGCCAAATCTCTCTGTTTATCACATATACAAAAAAATAAAAATAAATGAGAGTGATGAAAGGCTGTAAATGAAAGATTGTGCAGGAAGCCCTTGTATGGGATGGTTTGGCGATTTTTTTTTTTTTGTGAGAAGTTCTCCTGTGCGTACAAATACAAAATAATCCACGTGACTGTTAGTGAATTATTAGTGACCCATTGTGTTAGCCTATAATAATTGTCACTTTGAAGGTCAGATGACAAAACCAACTAATTCCAATTACAATTTTTTTTCTTACTGCAAATGTACAACTATATGAATTTGAAATGAGAGTATTTATTAAAAATTATTGATACTTACTGCAGTGTCTCCAGTTTATAATGTGGAGAATCCAATAGAGCAGTGAATAGTTCACATCCTGAATCTCCTAGTCTATTCCGAGTCAGATCCAGTTGTCTCAGGTGTGAGGGGTTTGATATCAGAGCTGAAGCCAAAGCAGCACAACCTTCAATTGTGATTCCACACCGACTCAACCTGTAGAGAACAATGACACGCTGTTGTTATGGATAGGGATGTGCAGTACTGCTGCTGCTAGTTGGCACTGGAAATACAACGCACGTAGTTGGTTAATAATATAGTTTCCAATTAAACCTTTCAATATTTTATTAACACACTTACATTTTGCTTTATATTTTACCAAGCTTTTAAAAAAATAATGAATAATACAGTTATTTAGGTTGGAATGGAAGAAGTTTCATTTCACATCAGGTCTTGCTTGCTGCTTATGTACCTTGTTAAAATAACAACTAAGATTAAAATTGACATGCATAAGTTAAATATTGTTTTTTTTTCTGTCAAAATGACCAAAGATATTTTAATTATCTGATTTTTTAAATTTGGTAAATGGGGACACAACACAACACCTGGTTATAATATGTTGGCTTACTTTTATTTGATATTCTGTTTAGAATAGGTTATTATATTTGCTCTTGTTGATCCTGCATGACTTACTCAAATGTTTTCATTAAATATGATTTTATTGGCCAATGTTTGTTCGTTAAATGTGTCACATTTTATAATTAATATAATGCAAAGACAGCAAATTACAAATATATGTCATCTTTCAGCAACATTTAGTATAAGATTTGGTTATTATTTATTATAAAAGATTGCCTTTTTTTTTACTTTACTTTACTTTACTTTTAGACTTTTACAGAAAACCAGTGGTGGCAACCAGATGTGTAATACATGTATAACATTTTGTACAATGTATTTTATGTGTGTAATTTTTTTTAAACATGTAACACTGTGGTGATAATCAGTGCTGTGATAGTTCACAACAAAATTATATTAAATTCAATCAGATTGACTATGATCCCATATTCTCTGCGTTAGACAATCAGAGAGATGATCTTACCCCAGTATCTCCAATTTACAGTCAGGATTCTTGAGTTCAGCACAGATAAGCTTAACTCCAAAATCTTTTAGATTATTCCTGGAAAGATCCAGATCTCTCAGGTGTGAGGGGTTTGATCTCAGAGCTGAAGCCAAAGCAGCACAACCTTCATCTGTGACACCACACTTACACAACCTGTAGAGAACAATGACACACTCTTCACTCTCTCAGATCAGAACACACAAGTCCATCCATCCATCCATTCATTCTCCAAACCGCTTATTCTATATAGGGTTATGGGGATGCTGTATCCTATCCCAGTGCTCAGTTTACAGCATTGACTTTTAATTTTTAATCAACAATTTTTTAAAATATAATAATCTGCTTCTGTTTCACTAAGAGAATTTGCCATGGCATAGCCTTGTGGGCAGCGTTCCAGCACACAGCGACCTGTGCTTGTATCCCGGGCAGCTCCTGGTGCTTTCTGATCCCAACCCACCTTTCTCTTCTACATTACCTTCTTAAATCTTAAAAATAAAGAGACTATTTATCTGAGTACCAGACCATGTGTGATTCTCACCTGAGTATCTCCAGTTTACAGAGAGGATTCTCGAGTCCAGAAGAGAGACGCATCACACCAGAATCTCCTAGTTTATTCTGAGACAGAGCCAGTTCTCTCAGGTGTGAGGGGTTTGATATCAGAGCTGAAGCCAGAGCAGCACAACCTTCATCTGTGATGCCACAATCACTTAACCTGTAGAGAACAATGACACACTCTTCACTCTCTCAGATTAGATAAAAATAAAATAAAATAATTAAGTTGCAATGAAGTGACAGATCTTTTTTTCCCATATTGTGATGTACATCTGAGTGAAATGGATTATCATAAAAGAAAAAAAAATGTTGGGTGGGCACTTTGTTTTATCCATTGGTTGTTGATTGGATTTTGAGATGTGAGCAGTGCATTTAAAAGTAGAGGCAGATGAATGTGAGCGTGCAGGAGTGGAGTTTAAGCTAAATGATTGGACAGGTTCCGTATGTCACCAAAGAGAAGTGCTGTTTTCACCAGAAGATCCAGGTTAATAAGCAGAACATATGCACAGATGAATTGTTTACAATTAGATCTATAACATGCATTTAGAAAAACGATAGGATGAATTTTCATTTCATGATGACTTTAATTTTTAGTAACTGCAGTATTATCATACTGAAGAGAAGCTCAAGGGCCCTATTTTAACGATCTAAGCGCATGGTCTAAAGCGCACGGGCGTTTACATGTCGCGCGTCTCACATGGATATTTGTAATATCAATAGCGCGAACAGCGCGTGGACAGGATCACATTAGAGATAATGGGCCCTATTTCAACGATCTAAGCACATGGTCTAAAGCGCACGGCGCAGGTGCACTTAGGGCGTGTCCTAATCCACTTTTGCTAGTTTTAAATGATGGGAAAAATGGTCGGCGCGCCCGGCGCATGATCTAAAAGGGTTGTCCCTATTCTCTTAATGAGTAATGGGTGTGTTTTGGGCGTAACGTGCCATAAACCAATCAGAGTATCATCTCCCATTCCCTTTAAAAGCCAGTTACGCTTGCGCCATGGCGGATTCGCTATTTATATGGCGGAATGTACAAGAGGAAAAACTGAACGCTTCTCTAGTGAGGGAACAGATCTGCTCGTGCGCGTAATTCTGATACATGCAAAGACATTATGACATGTAGGCATTTTTATATTTATGTACACAATAATAATCTTTACATTTTAATCATTTAATTTTTCATTTATAAAAATGTTTTTGTGCTGCTGCGCATCCCTGTGTGAGTAATAAACTAAGTGTAAAATATTGCGCCAGACTTTAGACCAGGTTTTTTTTTGGTCAATGGCGCAGTCTATTTCAGTTGCCTCAAAATAACAACGTGCCAGCAATGCGCCTGAACACACCTCGTTTTCAGACCAGCACTCCCATGTGCGCACAGATGGGCGTAAATGCATTTGCTATTTAAACAATGTGGCGCAGGACGTGAAAATGACAACTGCATCGGGCTGAAACTAGCAAAAAACACTTGCGTTGCTCCTGGCGCCGCATTGTGCCGGGTGTATGATAGGGCCCCAAGTGTTCACCCATTTACAACTCAGTCACCAGGGGATGTGTGAATGTTGTGTTTTTAGTTAAGGGGCATGAAAACATGTGAGCAACATACATCACAGCATGACCTCATAGCTCAATTAAAAAAACATAAATTTAAAACTGCAGGCGCTGCAGGAAAGTGGAGTAGATTGTATGTTTTATACATTTTGGATTTATTATTATTTGTTATGTGTTAAATTTAAGTTTTAAGTTGTAATATCATGACTGTTGCAGCATCCGAAGAAATTTTGTGTGCTCGAAGTCTAGTGTGACTGCGTCTTTAGTCAGTGGGTCTGTACTCTTAAAAGTACCCCTTAAGGTAATATGAACCCTTTAGTGGTGGATAAGATACAAAGATATATAGTTGGAAAGCAGCCCAAAAAAGCATGAATATTATGTTTTGTAATAAAACAACATGGTAACTGTTTCAGTAAGAAAACAACATGGAACTGTGGATTTAACAGAAACCAAACTGAAACTGTTAAGTTTTTTAAATGTGTGAATTTTCATTAGTTTATATTATGTATTTCCCTCCATGTCTTTACATATTTATTTATGCAAATAGAAATAAGATTCAGGTGGGGGAAAAACAACAGCAAGAAATGCTACTTACTACTTTGAAGAGAGTTTTACTAGATACTAAAAAAAATAAACAGTATGACATCTGCAGGACTGAAGATTTGTAAGATATCCTACTTCATTTTCTTGTAATATTTAAGAGTCTAGTGATTGTTCTTAGTGATACTTACTCAGCTGTTCTGTATTCCTTAATCACAGGCAACAACTTCTGAAGAACGTGATCAGCTTTATTTTCTGCTCCAACAAATTCATTCAGCTTAAACTCTTCCAGCTTCTTCTCTGATGTCAACAACACAAAAGCTACAGCTGACCACTGAGATGAAGAAAGTTTGGCTTCAGTTATTCTTCCAGATCTCAGATACTGTTGTATTTCCTCCACTAGTGAATGATCACCCAGTTCATTCAGACAGTGGAACAGGTTGATGGATTTCTCTGGAGAGCAAGTGGTCCTGATCTTCTTCTTGATGAACTCAACTGTTCTCTCATTGCTGTCAGAGCTGCTTCTTGTCTGTTTCATTAGTCCTTGTAGGAGAATCTGATGAGACTTCACTGACAGACCCAGAAGAAACCGCAGGAAAAGGTCCAGATGTCCATTTTTACTCTGTAGAGCCTCATTCACAGCTCTCTGATGCAACTCAGATATCTTATGTTCCATGGAAAGGCTAAAATAAAGTTGCTGAAAAGCTTTAGCTTCCATAAAACAAACATGCTGTCTTCTCAGATCATGTTCCAGATGAGTTTTCATGGCTTCATACGTTTGTTTGGTCATTGGGTCAAATACATTTATATTGTGGTTTGTACAGGAGAGGTGCACATATAGAGCTGCTAGATGT